TACACTTAGGGAATGATTAAGAAGAGTCGGCAATATCTCCTTTTGGGGCCGGCATATTAGCAGCAATCTTTGAATCTCCACTAATTTGAGCTTAAATATGCTCATTGCAAGTAACTGATCTTTAATTTTCCTGTTTCCATCCTCATTTGCTCGAATAGTAGAACGAGGTGTGGATTTCGTTACTGCCTGGGTGAATAGTTTTTAGTATTTGCAGTTTAAACCGAGGCTAAATTTCATCATCATTTATTTCAGCAATCTCCACAGTCTTGCTCTCTTCTCTTTCTTCCATTGAAATTTGAAAATAGGGGAATAGCTTCATGATTTTTAAACTCAATTTCCTCTGCTGATCTTGGAACCCACTGATAGTTTATATAAATGCAGCTTTATTCTTTGACCATTGTCCTTTGAGAATTGTGCAGGTTTTGTCGTTAAAGGACTTGTGTTAGTGATCTTAGGCCTTTTTATATCAGCTCGTATGTCAATTGTCAATAGATAGTTTCTAGTTTCTTTTGCCTGTCATTTTATAAAAACCTATACCGGTAAGCTGTATCCTTAGGCTGAAGTGATTTTACAGACATTTGATTATTCATCGTTTTCTGCTACTTGGAAAAGTAGATAAATTTCATTGGCCCACTTTTATGGTTAAATTATGTCTTGCTATCTGCGGGTACCTTCAGATTTAACTTAGCGTCTTTGTGGATTTTATGACAGGATTTGTTCGTTTGGTTTTATCGCAGTTTGATTATAACTGGTGAAACATGACAAATCAAGGCAGCACAAAAGTTCGATTAGTTAGATGTCCTAAATGCAGACAGGTTCTTGCAGAGTTGCCTGAGGTTCCCCTGTACAAATGTGGAGGTTGTGGTACTGTTCTCCAAGGTATTTAATTCACACGCGTAAAATAAGTGATTGTTAGAGTTTCAAAACACAGAAAAGGAAAACAAAAGAAAGAGAAAGACAATTGAAGCTTTTAATAGTATGAATTTCCGCATTTTGGCTTCTGATACTACAGAATTAAATACATTTGATTCGCCACAATTTTTTCGTACTTACACCTTTCTGCAATATTCATCTGTATACAGCTAAAAACCGGCGACCAGAGACCAACAGCTCGGGATCGTCCTCACAAGAAACATGTTCTGCTGCAAAAAGTCAACCAGATGAACTTCTAGAAGCTGGTAGCTCAAGTCAGCCTTTCACCAGTCCACCCGAAATAGAAACTTTGTCCGACAAAGACAACGCACGATGTAATGGAAACTCATTGGAACTTGGTGAGGACACAAGCAACCTTTCCGGCTCTCCCGAGGCGCCAGATGAAGGTTCACCCACAGAAACTAAAAATTTTATAGCACACAGCTCTGTACATCATATTTCCAATGCATATCATGGTGAATCGAGTCTAGACGGAAGTTTCTCAGATGAAATCCCAAGCTCAGGCGAATTTTCTCTCGAGGCCCAAGTGCGTAGTATGCCAGAAGCCGGTGAACACATGGAACGACACAAGAAGGATCAAACCGAACGAGAGGTGTCTGAAAGGGTTCGGCAAAAGGGTGTTAAAGTTCAAAATTTTCCGGAGCATGAGCACCTGGAGAGTGTTTTGCCTCCACAGGTGCATGCAAGTGTTAGCCAGAAAGAAGGCTATCTTCAAGAAAACAAGGCTTCACATATTATTTCCCGTGCGAATGAAAGTCATATATCACCACCAACCGAACAGATCAAGGAAAGTAACACAAACACAAATGGGTATCGTTCCAATGCTACCTCTCGATCCCCCTCAAAAGAGAGCCTCGTATCTTTTTACCTCGCGTCTTCCGATAATGAGATTCCGACTCATTTTCCGAGGGATAAGCGTAATTTCGGAAGATTTAGCTCCCTCGATACGTTCGGAAGCTCATCTCCACCCATGGCTAATTACCCAATAAACGGTACCACCTACTACGCTTACGACAGTAGTGAATCTTCTTATGACGGAAATTACGATCAAGTTCGGGAACGAATTTTACATCACCCAAGAAAGAATAAAAAGGACACCGACACCAGCAGCATCGAGATGCTCGGCAGAAATGGACTCAGGGGCCATGCAAGAAACCACCACTGGAGCCAACCGGCCGAGAGCAGTAGGTACACAAGTGGAAATCGGAAAAGACTCGACGGAGAAGAGGGTTTTTCCAGGCTTCCATTCCCTTCGAGGGCAAGCGTTCTGAAGCCTCAGTGCCCGGAGCCGAATAAACTCGACCTGCTGAGAACCGTGTGTGAGCTGCAAGATCAGCTCAACCGGATGCAGTTGCCGGAAATCGGGAGGTACAACAATCACAATCACTTCCCTCTCAAAAGAGAGACGTACTCCGGTGCCCGCCATCCCCACAGTTACAACGCGCGCCCCAGCCAAGTCGATGTTTGTCCCGGTCAATGGGATCTCCCGCACTACAGACCACCGCAAGCCGGCTGCTCGTGCCCACACTGCCTTTCGGGGACTCAAGACTGTCGCTACTCGTCCCATCTGCCCCCACGCAGCAGCATGTGCGGTGCTGCTCGGCCCAGCACCTCGAGCGCGCTCCAGCCAGTGACCGACCTGAAGGAGAAGTACTTGAGGCATGTCCGGCCAGTGGCTGGTGGGGCCCCCATGGTCTCCTGCTACGACTGCACGGAGCTGCTGCTCCTGCCGGCAGATTTCCTTCTCTTCAACCGGAAGAAATACCACCGGCTGAAGTGCGGTGCGTGCCGGACGATCCTGAGGTTTTCGCTCCACGGGGGGACCCACATAGTACCCTATGTGCCGGAGGCCATAGCTCCTCCGCCTCCGCTTGGCAATGCCAACACGCGAGACGGGCCGCGCCACCATCAGGGACCCGTCAGACGGGCCGCTGAGCCCGTTTCCTGTTCGGATGATGGCAAGGTGTCCTCCAGAGGTTCGTTTGAGGCTGTCGAGGATAGGAAGATGAAATCTGTGTTGACCGGGTCGTGGGGAGAGGGGGGGTTGGGAATGGGGAGATGGAAGGTGGGGCCAACGTCGGAGATTGAGGAATTGCCGAGTTCTCCGCTTCATCGGCTGATGGGGTACTCGTCGCCTAGCCAAGTGCTGGATAATTGATTGATTCTTAAGAGGGCGGAATGGAAACAGGCGGTCGTGTTTTCTGCTGGTTCGAAGGATTTTCATGATTTTTATGGGTTTTTTTGGTCGGAATGGAGCAGGGGAGGTTTGGCTTGGCTAATGGCTACACAGTTTCTTAGTATAGAAATGTTTTGTGAGATATTGGTGGTTACATATAAGTTGCAGTGCTTCTATAACTTTAATTGTTTGTTGTTTTTGTTTGTATGTTCTTGTTGTCTTGTTTAATTATGGTAGAGTTATAAAGCAGATGATGATTGATTGATTGTGTACAAAAGTTGAGTTAGGAATAATGATGTAGGCTTGCATCGTGTCAGTCTGTTCATTTATTGTTATTATAATACGAAGGGATTCATACATGATAAAACATGCAGTTTGTGTGATTGCCTTTGTGAATGCTACCATGCTTGTGTCGGAAGGAGACGCCAGATTTCATTTTCCAAAAACATACATAGAGCAAAAAAAACTAACTTATAGTATATTAATTAAAGACATCTCTGTCTCCCGAACAGTTGGACGCTGCTAATGATACCACATCAACGTGAATGTTATGTACACTCTTATATTATATATAATATTATGTACAATATTATGTATTTATAGCATTTCTCTTCTTATATTAGTGTCTCATACAATTTACGTATGCTGATTGTTTTGCTAATATTCTCTCTCTAATTTATCATACAAAATTTTAAATTTGTAAAATTTGGGCGCAGTTTAAATATTAGATCATACCGTAGTATTCTTGTCTCTTACTAATAATTGTTGAATGTTAAGAGTGAAGAATTCAAGAAAAAAAAAAAGAAACAATATAATAATTTTCATAAGTTTCCTCCACTTTTTCCTCTTCAAATTTTTAGCAATATTATTTCTGTAAACTAAATTGCAATTATTAATATCACGTTTTTAATTAGGTAATTTAATCTTATTTACTTAATATAGAATACATTTGTGACGCATCTAGCCCCCAGTCGAGGGAAACCGTTGATTTGTTGAAGTTTCGATCTCACGTGCCTAGGAGGGTTGGAAGTCGAGTTATCGACTTAGAACCTAACCTAAGTCCTCGAATAGTGAGCTGATACGAGATGAGCATATCTAACTCTAGAAGGTGACCTCTCACTTGGCAAGCGACCTAACGAACTGATAGATGCATTAGCTGCGTGCCAACTAATGAAGTTATGATCATGAATATCCTGAGTATCTTGGAGATATGGAAGGAGATCTATAGCGAGAAGGTATATACCTGATTTTCTTAGAAGGGTAGAGTTCTTCGGAAATAAGATAATTATTCTCTTGAAAAAATAAGAGCTATGGTTATTGTCATGTACATTCGGTCCATCGTCATATTTATATTACAAATGAAAGATGATTGACTTGATCGTCGAATGTTGTACGTCGAAAATCCTTCCGACGTTTTTTCAGGTACTTAAACGAGAATGTCAAACATGATTTAGAGATACTGACTATTTAAATAATAATAATAATAATAATTTACATATTTAGAAAGAAATTACTAAAAAAATAATACAAAATAAAAAAATAACAGTAATATAATACCGAAAGACAATTTATGAATTCACTAAATAACAAATAAATCTAAGAATTTACATATTTAGAAAGAATATTCAAATCATGTGAACGAGAGGACGAAAATTCCAATTTTTGCACGTCCCGTGCGAGACAACGATCCAAATCCGACACATCTCGAAAGCAACGTGGTGCCCTCTCCATTGGGGCGCGTGCCAATCCACATTGGTCCCTCCTCGCGCCACGTGGACACGTGACAAAATCCTCTCTGCTATATATAATACTCTTTCCTCGCTTATTGGAAATTTTATTAACCCAAAAATCTCAAAAGAAATCTTTTGAAGAGAGAAAAAAAAAAAAATAAAAATGGAGGCAGCAATTTCCGGTGGCCAAACGGCCGGCCAATCTCCGGCGACACCCATTTTCAAGCCAAGTACAAAGGGGGTTTTTTCCCCTGTCCACAGCTTCACTTTACCAGTTTTGAAAAGCCTCCATAAAGGAAGAGTCTTGAAGGTTGAGTGTGCCAAAGGGGTTTGGTTACCAGCCGACAAGAAATTAGCTGCGAATGAGGAGTTGGACTTGGAAGAGGAAATAATCGGACTTAAGGAATTGAGCAGTAAATGCAGAGGTGAGTGTGGCGGCATGGTCGAGCTGCTCGAGTGCTTGGAAAGAGAAGCAATCATGGGGGAAGATGAAGGGAAAGAGCCACATGATTATAACAGAAGGGCACAAATTTTTGACAAGAGCTCTAGAATTTTCCTTGCTCTCAAACAGGACAAGATCAATTCTGCTGTTTAGTTCTCCATAATAACCCAAATCTTATGTGTGTTTTTAGTTTCTTGTTATTTTCTCACCATTTTTTTTTTTTTTTTTTTTGTGTTNAATTAGGTGGGTTCGATCATGAATGAAAATACATTTACACCAATTTTTTTTTTCTTTAATAAAAATGCATTCTTACATATTTGCATTGTCACACTTTCAACATTCTTAGGTGGAATGTTAGAGTTTAGGCAGATGCATTTATTTTGAGTCACACACATACACAACTAACACAAGGCAAAAGCAACCCCATGTGTAGAATCAATCACCACACAAAGCATTTATCAATTCAAATTTCACATGAGAAGTTTGTTTCAAATCGAAAAACCGAAAATTAGGAACTTGTAATTTCATAGTATTCCAAGAAAACATACGAACTTTGTATGTTCAGAGTATTCATACTGAATACATATTATTCCATAATGCCTCTCAGAGTTTGAACTCTGACTTGATAACAGTCCTATCAAAAAAGATTGCCAGCAAAAGTTTTCACCTCTTCACTTCTGTTCAGAATCAGTCTTCTCAAAGAATGTCTTCCTTAACCAGTCAAAAGGCTGCCCACCAAAAAATAAAGAAAGAAAAACAAAATTAAATCCAGTATACAACATAGAGAAAATCATATCATCAATATCTTTCAGATGGACAAGGAAACCTACATGGATCAATGTATTGAAAAAAAAAAAAAATCAACAACATATAATTGAGCACAACACAACCTGGTAGCTTTTAGGGCTAACCAAGTTTGAATAATGTCGAGCAATGTTCAAATGATACTTAAATTTTTAATGTTACTTAGAAAATTGGCAATTACGGTGTTAATAGGGACTTCAGTTGAAAAAGGGGCCCTTCGCAACCAAAGTGGGAGTACCCCTTCATACAAACACATGAATAGAAACAAAAATGTCCAATTCAAAACTCCCATAATTGCTTTAATTGGAAACATTTAGGTACAAATCTGCATATTCAAGTTCCAGCCTTTCTCATAAAATAAACAAATAAATAGCAGACCTATGATCTAAAGCAACACACATTCCAAAACCGACCAATAAAATGACAAGAGAGATATAAGACAACCGTAAAACTAATAGTAAATAAAACAAAAGCCGATCCATGGCACCATTATGCAACGAGAAAGATTAGACCAGAGAACTTAAAAGAACATCTTTTACTATCTTGCTGCAATTTTACAACAGAGGCAGCTCAAAGCTACAGATATTGCAGTAACAAGTAATATATCATGAGATGTTATAGAGACAAAAGAATTCTTTTGTAGCTCACAACCTATAATACTAAGTTAATGAAGGGAACTGTCACTAATAAGAGAGCCATTCAGTTCTTTCATTTCCCATATCCCTAGCACTCGTGTTCAGTATGCTACTTTTCTGACTTATATTAGCCATCAAAATGTTCAAAGGTAGTAGCAGTTATTTTTTTAATAACAAATATGCATAAACAACATAAATAATAACACGACATTTCTCCGTATAAGTACACATTTTTGTTCAAAAAATATAACGGCTTTGATATGTCTAACTTCTAAGACGCCTAACACAAGAATTTGTGAATGTTCAAAAGGTTCGATCTCAATCCCACATCAATACTTCTCAAAATGACTTAATCACCAATTTCTCGAAGGTGGTGTTTTTTAAATTAGAAATATTTAATAAAATGCGATTCAAGATCTACCCCAAATGAAATGTCGACAAATAAAACGAGAAGCAGATGAAATTCAATGAAGGCAGGCACCAGTGCAATATCTTCAAGATTCGTAAAATCGATATGAATGAATGTCGGAGTGGATACCTGAACAACCCAGAGCGCGGTGGTGCCGGCGGCGACGCCCCAGAAAACGGCGGCCTGTACGTCGGTGGGCTGAATGCGGCCGGAGCGGAGAAACTTGAAAAGACCCGATCCAGATGCAGCCGGGGAAGCCATTATCGATCTTGAAAAAACTTCGTAAAAAACCTAAAGTTGATTGATTCGGGTATATAAATTGTTTACTATAGTCCTATCCTAGTAATATATAAATAAACCAGAGGTCTTTTTTTAGCCGTTTTTTTTTCCTTAAAATAGAATAAATAGTTGTGGGGCCCACTGCATAAAATACTTGTTTTTCCAAAAATATTAATTTTAGTTAATTTAGAAATGACAATGAGTCTAAATCATGAATGCCTATCATTCCGTCGAGACTTCTAATGGTAGATACACCATGTAGATCAGTGCAGATAAATGATATGCGAATAAAAATCGGTTTCGTCACGGGACTATAGTATTTCTCTAATTAATAATATTTGATCAAACTTGCAATTTATCCTCATGCATAAATAACTAATATTGTAGATCAGATTTTGCCAAAAACAGAACACCAAAATATCATCTTATCCAGAATTCATGTTGAAAAAGCTACCACATTGAAGTTGACATACAGCTGAGAGTTGCTAAAACATGCAAAATCTGATACTACAACAGCAGCCAAGAAA